CAGTAGTAATTGTGCGGGCAGTATATTTGTACAATACATAAAGGAAAGAGTATAACATAGTCAAATCAGTATCACCCTCCCCGCTGTGCGTCTAATCCTAGTAGTCAACCAAGGCGCGGTTGTTCTTGATCGCGCAATGAACTATTATATTATTACATTAGCATATTCGCGTTTACCCTAATTAATATATAGCATGGTCGTTGTGTTCCGTTAAAAACGTGTTGAAGGAACGCCTGTGCTTATTATATGCTGGGCTGCGTAATATTACCGCGTATGAATCATTTGCAGATCCTTTGGCTACATCAGAGGCATATAAGCATATGAGTATATGAATGTATAAATATATGTAGATATGGACGTTATGTGTAGAGGAGCACAAAGCCCACTCGTGATAATTGCGCCATTATGGTAGCTCTCATTTTTGAGACGCTTGTCATTTCGGAAGAACGAATAAAAGAATGAGCCAATCGTTCCCTGGCGGGATGTGCAAATCTCGCGGGGTGCATTATGTGAAGTACATATAATATTCTATATATAGGTATGTATATATATATGCGCATAATGCACAGATGATAGTGCTCCGCAGTGAGCACGCATCATATATCATGATCTCTGCAACATAGATAAAAATCAATTTTTTGCATATATAGTAAATCATAGCACATTTAGTGCATATATATTACAGTGTATAACTACTAATTTTGGACGACTACGGGGGGGCACAGTGTGAGCAGAAGTATATGTGCATATTTGCAGGTGTATGTTTTATTATACCTAAATAAAGTGCATTACGGCTATGGTCACTTTGTGGCGTATTCCCCAAGTGTGAAGTTTAAAGTTAGATAGAACAGTCTTAACGATGGATGTCTTGGTTCCTACAGCGATGAAGGCCGCAGCAAAATGCGATACACAATGAAAATTGCAGTGACTGTGAATCATCTGAACGCTGAATGTAAATTATACTCAAAAGAGGTCTGTTTACCCAAATGGGGCCTCTAAAATTGGTAGTACTTCTATTATTTTTAAGAAATTTATTTATAAATTTCGCCAACTGAAGTATGGATTCGCGGCAACTGTGCAAAATGAGGTTTCTTTAGTGTATATGTGTATGTTAATGAAGCGGATTGCGCGGGAAACGAAGGAGGATCTCTACATTTGCCCATAAACGATCGGATAGATTTCGAGACGCTAAAAATGTTCCTTGTTACAGAGCATGATAGAAACCTTACTTGATAAGTCTTCATGTTTCGGTTCAATATTGGATACCACTTGTAGAGATATACACATGCAGAGTTTACATTGCGTGTATGAATCAACAGTAGGTTTTTGCCTGAGGGGAAGAAAGGATGCCTTTTGATAAAATTTATTGTAAGGTATACGTATTTTCCTTCTTTCGTATTTTCCGAAGAGTATTTCCTTCGTGTGTCGTGAATTGGCGATGAAATAGCCGGAAGGCCTGTTCGTTATAAGTACATGCTGCATATTTGTATGTATGTCTCTTTATGCGAGCCGGTTTCTTCTGGGTATGAATTTTTATTAACCGTATGCCCATTACTTCGGTATAAATGGATGGACAGTTATAAAAATTCATCATGGGTGGACGAGGATATTAAGATGTTAAAGTAATACTTGCCCACAGGTTTGCTTTTTTGTTCAGGTGTGTTCTACACTTGAGTAAAAGCATCTCTCTGTATGGTAGGGGTAGTAATTATTAATATATATATATATGGACACTCATGTATATATATTTATTTTTACAGTGTATTATTTTAGGTCTATATATTTTCCCCTCTCGTGATATAGATTTTGCGTGTGGGTATTTGTAGCAGCCTGTGTGCACTACCTATAAAACATATTTCAGTATTGAAGGATAAAAAACATAATAGAAGGGCAAATCCGCCGAACATAAGCATATAATTAAGCGGAAGAAAAGAAAATAACAATGATTCCTTTAGTAACGGCGAGTGAACAAGGAAGAGCTCAAAAGGAAAATCCCATAGTCTGTGCAAGCTTACCTTGGGAATTGTCATGTTCAGTAATTTTCCAAAAGAATAATTTAGCATATAAGCGAAGTGAGCAGGAAAGCTCTCCCTAAGAGGGTGAAAGGCCCGTAGTTTATTATTGCTTGTATTTTTTTGGAGAATTGCTTATAGAGTCGTGTTCTTTGAGATTGGAGCACAAATGCGTGTGATACATTTCACATAAAGCTAAATATGTGTAGGAGACCGATAGCAAACAAGTACCGTGAGGGAAAGATGAAATAGTACTCAGGAATGAGCCATTAAATAGTACCTGAAATCGTTAAGATGGAACGGATTAAGAGAGAAAAAAAGTAAAGCGGGAAAATAAGTTCTCCGGAATTTATTCTTTCTACTTTATTAAAAGGAACATCAGTGAACGTGGATAATTAAGATAGAACAATTTAATGAAGTGGTTAGGAGTATAATATTATTCTTTGCCCTTCAATTAGTCCTTACTCTAAAGTTCGGACAACTGGTTTTATAAACTCTTTAACTCAAAATGGGAATTATCTTATTTGCTGAGGAAAATCAAAATTGCATTCATTTATTTCGTTGCAGTTTGAGTTGTTTCTACATAATGCTTTCTTAATCCACTCGTCTTGAAACACGGACCAAGGAGTCTAGCAAATATGCAAGTGTGTATGACATATTAAACATATGGTAATTTTTATTACTATATAAATTATACGCACAATTAATGTACTATGTTAATTATTGTAGAACCTGGGGGGAAGCAATTCCCCGCTTGGGCGCATACAATACCGGTAGGCAAATTAATGCCATATTGAGTAAGAGCATATTTGATAGGACCCGAAAGGCTTTGAACTAAGTGTGGTGAGACTGAAGTCAAACGAAAGTCTGATGGAAGATCGAATTGATACAGATGTAAGAATCGTTCATTTCAACTGCATTTAGGGGTGATAGATCATACGAAAAGCCTAATAGCTGGTTATTTTCGAAAGATCTCTCAGGATCGCTGGAGTTGATTAATATAATTTTACCAGGTTAGAGGCAATGATTAGAGGACACAGGGAATTAAATTTCCTTGACCTATTCTCAAATTCCCAATAGGTAAAAAGGGTTAAAATATCTTTATTTTGTATTTTGCTCAAATAAATAATATAACTCCAAGTGGGTCATTTTTGGTAAGCAGAATTGGCGATGAGGGATGCTCCTAACGCTTGGATAAGGTGCCTAAATATTTGCTCATGAGATCCCATAAAAGGTGTTGGTTCATAATGACAGTAGGACGGTGGTCATGGAAGTCGAAATCCGCTAAGGAGTGTGTAACAACTCACCTACCGAATGAACTAGCCCTGAAAATGGATGGCGCTAAAGCGAATTACCGATACCAAGCCATAAAAGGAGAAGAAAAGATTACTTTGTGATTTTTTTAGAATCCTTTTATGAGTAGAAAATCGTGGGGTTTTGTGTCGAAGCGAAATACGTGAGTTTTCGTGGAACATATCCCTAGTGCAGATCTTGGTGGAAGTAGCAACTATTCAAATGAGAACTTTGAAGACTGAAGTGGAGAAGGGTTTCTTGTCAACTGTGATTGGACAAGAGTTAGCCGCTCCTAAGAGGCAACCGAAGGGTTTGAAAATGGCTGGGAACAAGGGATTACACAATGTATGCATATATATGTGCACACATATGTAGATACATGTATGTATGTGTGCCACACATGTATGCATACATTGTGTGGTTCTGGCCCCCCCTGCCTACTCGAAAGGGAAACAGGTTGATATTCCTGTGCCATATAAATGGTATATAAAACATAACGTTCAGGGTTTTTTTTTTCTAAAAAAAAAAAAAAAACAGAAAGGTGGTAACATAAATAGCAAATGAACTCCTTAACATAGGCCTTACATTCGAGTTGCGTTATCTTTGCAATTAACTTTGCGGCAAACCTCGGAGTAGCAATTTACTTGGAGAAGAGGTATGCTGAATCTGCATATCGGGGCAAGAGATGCACATCGGGAAACTTGTTTTTTCTGTACATTTTTTTTTTTTCCGATCTTTGTAGTAATAGTAATTCTTTTTTTAATGGAATTATTCGAAAGCGTAAGGACTATCCTTGAAAAAAGGAGGGAACAAGTAAATTTTGAGAATATGGTAGAAATTCCTGTTCCAGCGGGGAAACCTCTTCCTTTTTATTTTCATATATGCTGAATACCATTGTTGTACGTACCGAATAACCGCATCAGGTCTCCAAGGTTAACAGCCTCTGGTTAAATAGAACAATGTAAGTAAGGGAAGTAAGATAAATTGGATCCGTAATTTCGGGATAAGGATATGGCTCTGATGATACTAAGCGAAGATAATGATGGAGTGGTTAGTTATCATATAGCTCTGAGGAGAAAAGGCGGGTATATATAGGCTGTTTCGGATGATTTTTCATCTGTTCATACTTTGTGTGCTCGTTTTCTTTTCACCCCTGATATATATATTTCTTTCCCTCCTTCTTTCGCACTGCGAAAATTATGGTATTTCCTAACTTTAAGTGGCACTGCTCCAGCGTGTCTTAAATGTGGGGATGCCATGACTGACGTAGATATATACAGTATCCAATCAGAACTGAAACTGGCAAGAGGAATTTAACTGTTTAAGACATAGCACTGTGAAAGCCCTCATAGAGTAGGTACATGAACGTGTATGCATATATTGTATATATGTTTATGTACTCTTTTGGAGCACCTCTGACGCAGTGTGATATCTGCCCAGTGCTTTTGAATAACTAGTGTAGCTGTAATTCAATAAACGCACAGGTAAATGGCAGAAGTAGTTGTTACAGCTTCTAATATTAGCCAAGTGTTTCGTCATTATGCGCGTGCCCTCTGATTCTTGCCAGTGGTTTGTAGTATTATGATGCATAGGGCCTGTTAGCCGGGTGTTCTATCTGGCTTTCCATGTCTTATGTCGTAATAATATTATACCTATGGTTCAGATAACGGGCAGATGCGCTTTTAATCATGAAGGTCACTTAGAGCAGATAAACGAAATTCCTGCTGTCCCTACTTGCAATCTAGCGAAACCACAACCAAGGAATACAGGCTTGGTTAAATCAGTTGGGTCACAGAAGACCTTATTGAACTCGACTCCAGGTAGGCTCTGTAAAAAGGCTTCCGATTGTGTAGCATAAGTGGGAGCGGAATTCTGAAATATGTTTCTGCGCAAGTGAAACACCACTCTATCCAAAGTCTTTTCACTCATCCTTTAGTGTGGGCATCACAGGGACACATATGTATGTATGCTCCTCCCCTTAATACCACTCTATGGAGACACAGCCTAGTGGGGAGTTAATTTACAGCGCCGCTATATTTGCGTATCATCTTTTATTTCGATAAAGGGTGTACGTATAATGTGCGAATGGAGTTAGCAGACTCAAAGAGAACAGAAATCTCTTGTGGACTTTGCAATAATAAGAAATGTCTGTTAATAATAGTTACATCTTCCTCTGGGGGAGTTTGTATGGCCTGTAATTATGACCTCCTTATTCATGTGAAAATACCATGGTGTGGGCATCGCGGACATGCGTTTGTATATACGTATATATGTACATACGTGCATATATACGTATGCACATGCGAATTATATATCCGTATGCCTCTCCGTATATAGTGTACAAATAAGGAGCGATAGGAAAAGGGTTATAATAGGGATAACTTTCTTGCGGCAGCCGAGCGACTTTAGCGACGTAGCTTTTTGACTATTTTGTAATATATCAGCATTTCCTATCATTGGGATGAAGAAGTCCCAAAGTGTCGGATTGTTCAACCGCTAACAGGGAACGTGAGCTGATTTTTTGGGCAGTCGTGAGACTTGCCTAGTTTTTAACCTACTGATGAAAATTGTTAATTTAATATAACGCATTGATAATGTGACGGTAATCCAACTCAGTACGAGAGGATAAGTTGGTTCAGACATTTGGTACAGGAATTGGTTGACAAGCCAGAGTTCCGAAGCTACGTCTGTTGGATAATGGCTGAATACATCTGAAGCCAGAATCCATGCTGAATAAACATTACTGTAAGCGTGTTCTGTATAATTTGGCTTTTCAAATGTTTTGCTTTATAAGCAAACTGGAAAACGAATACATATATGATTCCTTACTTTTGTAGGACATCAGTATATTAGTAACCCATCAGCCAAAGTATTTCTCAAAGTTGGAAGAAGGGAGGAGGTAGCACTGTGTTTAGGAGATGGTAGCTATCTATGGTAGAAGCAGCTATGTTCTATTTTTTCCAAACTGTAGAGTGACATTGAGCTTCCTTTTGCAGTATGGTAGAATGAGCGGTTTGTCCTTTTCGCTTATACTCCTGTATTACTTTTTAAGGTACGGTCGAGGGAGTGAAAGGACCGGGTTGCCCTTTTTTCCATTTTTCAGCCGCTGGATCCTAAAATGCTATGCGCCTCTGTCCTTGTGAAGACTGCGAAGAATACTTTTTGACCGTAATTTCTATAATGCAGAATGCAATTAAAAAATGCCTGTAGACGACTCGAAATGCCCCTGGTGCTGTAAACATGAAAGTAAACCTTGTTTTACGATCTGTTGAGGCTTATCCACGGGTGTTCATTTTTTATAAGCAAGTATTAGCGCACTTTTACTATTTGCGTAAGCACATATGTAAGTTCTTATGGACTGCATATGGATGCCGAAATCTAATACACCAAACAAGTTTAAGTAAATCAAACTTTTGCTCATATGTGTTCAATTCGCAGGAACAACCGTTCGCCAGGCATCCATCAAGCCTACGTGAGCGCTATGTACATGATTGCCCTAGGATGTACGTGGTATATGCGCAGTATGTACGTGCCATATACTTAGTACATATGTGGACACATTACCTTATATACGTGCTTGTATGTACTAATGTATGTGCTTACATATGTTCCTGTATGCAATTATGTACGTACGTGAATATATCGCTTTGTGCGAGCTCCTAGTACTTATGAATGATGGTACGCATGTACCCATTACTTATGTTATGTGTCTGGTTATATGAACATATACCCATATAAATGCCTCAAGTATATGTCCTTTTATAATGCACTGAAGTATGGGCGTTTGTTGGTGGCATTGGGTGTAAACTTAAGTATTCATCTGCGGATATATTTACTCTTACGCATGAAATTATGTATGCACTCGTATATTCCCTTATATATGTCCTTATGCATGCATGTATTTATTCACAGATGTATAACCCCATTGAACATGCATCCACGTGCGTATTTATGCAAAAGCCTTAATACTTATAAATTGTCACATATATATATGCCCTGTGTGCAACATTCCATTGCCCGAATAAAATTAAAATTGCATATTTAACTGTCACACGTGTGTGAGCTCATTACAAACGCATTGGTGTAATGTAGAAGGTGAAAGAACAGGAAAAAGTAAATGGGTTGTGTATGCCTGTTAATGTTTCTGGTATTTTGGATGGCGCGCTGGTGCTTTTGGGTGGGGGGATTCTTCACTCAAGAAGTACAAAGCTTATGGAATGGAAAGATTTCCACATATAATGCACCAAAAACGGGTTTATATATATACGTATGGATATGTATCAGTACCTTTAGCATTTCCTTTTAAGGTTAAGTCATAGCACTCACTCCATGGGTTTCAGTTAGAAGCATGTTCGCGCAATACATATTTTTTATGGAATTTGAAAATTGTAAGAACTTTTTTTTACGCCATATGTACATTTATGTATTTTCATGTGATATGCATATATATAGAGGTATACACCCGCTCTATTCTATTGCAGGGGAAAGAAAGTGTAAAGATGCATGCGGAGATTAATCAATTTTTATTTGTAGTGCTCCTTAGGTATGCAAATGTTTTAAAAAAAATACGTTTCTTTAATTCCTTGTCTTTGTAAATTTCATCATTTATAAGGTACTTCATTTAAAAATTTCTCGAGGATAATTTTCACCCTTTGGCTCCCACTTTGTATACAGTTCACGTGATGTGTGTGCCATTTATCTGACATTTATGTTTATTTTATTTATTCGTATGCACTGGACGTTGCACAAAATCGTTTCATACAATAAGGGAATGACTTACATATTCTATTATATGGGGCTCAAGTGCAGAAGTGTTATGTCTGTTACCTAATTTTTTAACTTTTCTACAAAAATGTACATAGGTGTACGTGAGGGTGTTATCGTGGGTATTGTCATTTTAACCAGAAAGTTGTGCAGGCGTTGCCATTTTCTTTCTTTTTTTTTTTTTTTGTCCCTGTTTATGCAACATAGGCCTTTCTTAAATTAACACTGGGGTGAAGTGATTTCCCAATAAATATAAAAGATCCATGGGGGGAGGACAATTTAGCTCATTTTTATTTTTCAGTGTAAGCTCTTTTTCCTTCTTTTTTTTTTTTTTTTGCTTTAAAGGGAGTCCTTTTAATTGTATTTGACGTATGTGTGTGAACAAGAGGCATAATTTCCTCTAAATGGCGCCAAAAAAAAATGTAAAACTTTACTCCTATATGTAAACTTAAGATGAAAATATTCGCGTTTTTAATATATTGGAGGAAAAATATCGGAGTGTTTTACGAGGTGTACTTATGGAAAAAACATATGCATTAAGGATTATAAGCTAAGCTGTTCCTTCTGAGAGAATAGCATATCACCCCTGCGCCTTATTGGTTGACAATTTTTTCTGTATCACGCAACTAGTTGGAAAGGGAAGCACATTATTTTTACACCAAAGTTAGTTTCTAAGCTTTAGTTATTTCATATGTAAATATAACAAAAAATATTTGATTGTATATGCGAAAAAATGATGTAGAAATGATTCTCAATTGTTCCTTATATTCTCATTTTAGAGGAAGCAAAAAAAGAAAAAAAAGCTGTCCTTTGTTATTCATATGTAAGTGAAAGTGGCAAATGGAAAATATGAAATATCTCTGTGTAGCAACAGCATTTTGAAAATTATGAAGATGTGTAAGTGCACACAAGTGGTAACCTATAGAGTACGCGTGTATTCAGTTGTCATTTGGGAACTACTTATAGGAGCGTAAGGAATCCCCCCCAAAAGAGGAAAATAAAATAACAATGTATGATAAATTTCGTCAGTTGATCATTTTGTCTCTTTCACAAATTTAGTGAAATGCTTTGCTTAAGAGTATTCTTCTTTTCTTTTTTTTTTTTTAAATGTATACGTTAACCAAAAGGTTTCTGAAGTCAACAGCGTGTGTGAAACCTTTTACAATAAACTCTTATGTTAATGCTTAAAAAATTTTATGTGCCATATTTTTTCGCTTGAGCGTTTTATCTAGCCATGTTAGGCTAATACATTACCTTTTTTACGCCTCTGCGAAAAAGCAGTTACCAATGTGAATAATTGTAAACATGATGGAGCCAGTTGAAGGGTGAAATGTAAAGAGACTCGGCATTTTTTGCCGCGTTCTTTAAATTGAATACATGAACATTGGTTTTTATGAACCCCCATATATGTACATAAATATATGCATATTTAGCAGTTAGCATGCATGTGCGTTCTTTTTAATCTATTGAAAAATTAAAAACGTGTGTTTTAGGGAAAACAGAAATAAATTATCTTTATAATTTATTTTTCCGAACAATGAGGGGTGGTAAAACCAAATAAGAAAAGTCACTAGAGGTGCTCATTCATCACACAAATAGGTTTATATGTAAAGAACTACACGACGTGTTTGTCTGATTTTTTCATAAGGAACTTTTTACCCATATGAGTAACCTATACTTTTTTCATCCTTTTTCGCACTCGGGGCTAAAAGCTTAACAAAAAAAAATAAATCTACTATGTTGTTAATACAGTGAGGATGGAAGGAGTGGGCCATTTTCTTATGAAAAAAGCCTCATAAGGTTTCTCCTTTTATGTGTAATGCGAATGTATAAAAAAATGCATACACATGCACAGTATTTACAATATTATTATATACACTGTTACTTCCCTATGTAATAACGGAATAACTGCGCTTTGCAGAGGTCGGCCAATTTTGTGAAGTCCATGTAGGAGTAAGCATATGATAAATATGCTGGCAGAGGTTCTTTAATTATATTACTATGCTATTATAATACTAAAGTGTGGTTATAGACAGTGCATGGTTTTTTCTATCACGCTAAGAATTAAAGCAAAATATTGTTACCCCTTAAATTAGGAATCTTACTTTTTATGTGCAAAAAATCCCGGTTAAATAAAACATCTTTTAGGTACATATTCCTTAAAATAAAAGATGCTATATCATTTTGTCACAGACGTTAGAGATGATAAACTGAGAATGGATGCTTAGTCTCCTTCACATTGTATAGGACATTTAAATAGCAACAATAATGGGCTAGAGTAATTTTTTATAAAGACTACATATATTCTTTTAAGTATTAAATGAGGACATGCGTGGTACCCCATATTATTTTTTCCTAACTAGACAACATGACAAGATGTGTTTTGGCATATTTTGTGTTAGTGCTTTTTTTTGTATATGGTAATTTAATGACATATTTTTAAGATTTTCTGACTCTTGTTCCCTGTTAATTCTGGTATAAGGCGTGAATTTTTGTTCTTGGCGAGGTAGAATAATAAGCCCGATTTTTGCATTCATGCACTTTTGAGGTATCGATTCAGATAGGAAAAAATAATATGATCTAAACAAAAATGGTGCCAACAGAAAAAGTATACAACAATGTTTTGTACTATTTTATGCGTGTACATTTTTTAATTAAAAATAGGTACACATGTTTTGAATTTTATTTCTTGCAGGGTGCGCGGCTTTTTGTTGTTATTGTTGTTGTTTTTTTTACTCTTTAAAAGTAGACAAGTATGTTCATCAATTCGTCCAAATGCAACAGCGCAGGGAAAGCGCGTTTTTATAAATAAAAATGCATGTTAAAGGAGAAATTCATTATTATGCAATATAAGGCAGTAACAACCATAATGCAATAACATAATAGCAGCATTATATTCGCGGCGTAAAACGCCTATCCTCTTTTTTGATTGTTGTGGCAGCTACAGTGCTATAATCTATTTATAAAATTATTATATGCATTGCCGTTACGCATATTAAGTTATGCAATGCATACTATTATATATTATATGTTACTTGAAGGTATTATGTACCTGTTAATCAGCGCTACGAATTGCTCTTTAGGGAAATGCCCCGCAGAAACATAACGACTCCTTTGTTCTGGCACCGATCCGCGGGGTTGTAAAAGAATAAAAAAAGAATAAGAGTAAATACATTCATAATTAAAGTAAAGATTTATATTATACAATAATAATATCGATTGGGGGGAAGGCGACATTTCTTTTTAAAATTCTTTAGGGACAATTTTGGTTTAAGCTTTGTATATTTTATAAAGAAGGCAATTATGGTAATATTTTACTTTTCTATGATGGCGCCCTGTGCTACCTACAAATTGGTGCTTTGCATAATAATACCTGTGATTTTAATAGTGCTTTGTTTATATTATTATTTTTATTTGTCACTAATATTTTATTAATAATTATGAACAGAAACAAAAGCTGAATTATAATACTGAACCTACTGCATATAAATATTATTAATTAATTTATGGTATCTATAAACATTTGCCTCCTACAAATTAAATGAAGGGATACCGCATTCGCCATACATGTTGTAACGCGGCAGCGAAATTGAATTATTAACGAGAAAAATATTTTCTTGCAGGTTCATCCTATTTTTTATGATTGATTCTAAAATTATAAATAAATTTTATTTTTTTTAAAATAAAAAAATTGTTCATGTTTTTTTTTTAGATATAAGTTTATATTAAGCATTTTGAGCAGCATTATATATTTTTTTGTTTTAAAAATTGATTTATTCGAGAAATAAATAAAAGATATAATATATATATATACATAATTTAGTAGTTAAGTATATTTTTTCTAAGTTCATTTTCGCATGTTTTATTAATTGCGTCTTAGTAGCTATTTCATGATTTGCAAAAAGTTTCTTTAACTATTGAATATGTTGTTACCCCATATTCATGAATTGTAATTATATAAAGAGGTTTTCAATACTTACGTTGTATAGAAGACGTGAAGGCATTAGAAAATACAATAATAGTTTTTAAAAAGAACCGTGTAATTTTTTTTATTGTACATATATTCTAAGGTATACTTATTACGTATATTATTTATAAACATATAAATTTTGTACACTTAAAAGCGTATATATAAATATAAATATGTTACGTACTTGATTTAGCCCTCCTCATATATGGTTACCTTTTTAGCTCGAAGTTTTTACATCAGTTACAGATATGGGAAGAGTGAAAAGGACAAATACAGAAAAAAAAAAAACTACTCTTAGCCCTATTTTAAGAATATCTTTATTTAGCTTCTTAGTATGGATAGCAAAAAGTTCCAACAATGTAAGTTTTTTGGAAGAAGAACTAAGCAGCGGCTACACTTTTAAGCGTTTACGATGATGTGACACCGCATGTGGTGTATATACGTATGCATATTAGATATGTGAGTGGGGTTGTAGTTGTATTTTTTCTTACTCTGTTGAACCCGTTTCGCTTTTACTTAGGATGGACACTACGGGGGTAAAAATGGCGCTCAGAACTTGGGCAAATCATGGACCTTACGAAATGGTAGATTGTTATCAGAGCAGCCCCAAATAGAATTCGACACCGTGTTTAACACATTCAAAGATAGTTTTTTAGATAAAATGGGATTAGCAGACCAGGAACAAGAGCAAATTAAAGATATGATGCATTCATATTTTAACAATTTAGATTTATCTGCTTTAGAACGTCAGATTCAACAGAATCCAGATATGTTCCAACAATTTGGACCAATTCCAAATATGCTTGGTGAGATTCAAAAAGATCCGAACAAGTTTAATCCATTCTGTCCACTTGTCCCAGGCATGCCCTTACCTCCCCAACCTGGGACAAGTGCTAGCTCAGACGGGAAACCTGAAGAAGGAACTAGCGGAAGCTCTGATTTGGAAACTCAACCTGGTACAAGTTCGAAGAAAGGTGGTGCTGAGAAACCAGAATCAAGTTCAGGAATACTGGGACCATTTCCTCCATTACCATCATTGGAGGAGCTTTTCGGAGCATCGAAACCAGATGCATGCGGAAATGGGGAATCACGTATCCCAAATTTTAACTTCTTAGAAGAGTTACAGAAGAATGCAAACTTATTGGGAGAAATTCAGAAGGGAGCAAATGGAGCTCCAGGAAATCTTCGTGGAGTTGAGCAAAACAAGGATAACAACAAACAAGATGGAAAACAAGAGGGTAATAATATGGCTGAGGGAACCGATGGCGTACTTGAGGAAAAAAAGAAAAAGAAGAATGAAGAAGCTACTGAAGGGGGAAAGAAAATGGAAAAGAAAAAGCAAGTAGCGGTGGGACAAAAAAAGAGTAAAGTAGATGCTAGTGATTCCGAAGATAAGGATGAAGAATTTGAGGATGCAATGGAACAAGTTCAGAATATGGAAGAACCACATACACTACCAAAATTCCCAGCGCGGAAGCCCGAAATGCCGCAGCCCTCAGAACAGGCAAATGCTCTACCCTTCGCAAACCTTAGCTTTCCAGGTATGCCTAAACTGGATTTGTTATTTGGTCAACAATTAGCAAAAGGGAGAGAAACTAGCGCACTAGCAAGTTTTGTTAATAAATTAAATTTTTTGGGTGTCGATGCTAAATTATCTGTAGTTACAACTTTGCTAGTTGGACTTGCTTACTATAAGGTTGAATATTTCGTATATCTCATGATGTTTATTACAGGGATGAATTTATTTAGGGAAGTAGGCAGCATCTTTGGTAAACTGCTTAGATAGCTGATGATGATGATGTGCATGAGCGTTTTTTTGGGGGGCACACTGTTTTGTCCTTACACCCAATAACGTAAAACGAAGAAAGTACATACACAAGTAAATGTATATAATGTACTTATATGTAGCATGCATATATAACAAAATCGGTGGAAATGAAGACTGGTAACATGTTGGAGAAAACTTTGTACGTTTCTATGTATTAGGAATAGGACAAACGCTTGATGAGTATATTTTCACATTAAAAGTTGCTAAACGAAGGTTGACACCATTTAAATGATATAAGTCCTTGGACAGAACTTGTTTGGGGCAGCCTCAATGTCATATTCTTTCCTACATACAGATATAGCTCAATAATATGGCTATCGTACATTCTAAAGATTTTTTAAAATATGGCATATTTGGCCCAACTATTATACAATATATATATGTACATATGTTACATATATATGTATGTTTTTTTTTTTCTTCTTTTTTTCATTTGTGTTGTATAACAATTTGAATACCACATTAAATACTGTTTTTACAAGTTTTTCTTTTTTTTTTTTTTAATTAATATATATTTATAACTTATAGAGTTGCGACATGGAATAACGTTTATTTGTTAACTACTTTTTTTATGTATTTATCCTTGTAAAAATTATGTAATAATGTGTACACATATATTTTCATAATTCATAGGTAATTGGTTTATTTGCCCTGTGTAAAGGTAGTATATATATATATTTGCACTTGGAGTAAATATAAACACGTAATGGTTTGCTTCTTATATATGCAAAAGAAATTAATTTGTATTGCATATGATCCTACTTTAATTAACGTTAATATTAAAAACTTTTGTCATGAAAGATTTGTTAAATTATACCTTGCATTGTTATTTGTACAGACATGTGGGCAAATACATATAGGTACGTATACATATGTACTAGTAGAGGTGTTCAAATGGCTTAGTAGTTCGTGAATGATTTTTTACTTGGTATTTTAATGTGTCTTTTTAATGCTTCTCTGATAAGGGACATTTAATCAAATTTGCATTCACAAGAATAATTTTTCGCTAAAATGCGGAGGTGAAATCTCTTTTCTTTTTTTTTTTTTTTGTACTATACGTCATTATGATAGCTTTTATTTTATGCAGAAATGGTTAACTTGAATGGAAGGACATTTATTCTAATGATATGGTAAATCAAATGTTTGTTATGCTTATGTACAGGTGGTATGAACGAATAGATCAAAGAAAAAAAAGAAGAAACAAGAAGAAAAAAAAAAAGGTAACAGCTATTTTGCCTCTTTGTGTGCCTTTTAAAAGGGGGCCTGATTAGGAATGTTAAATTGATTATTTGGGTGTGAATCTTTTGCACAATTTTAAGGACAGTGCTGGATTAAAAAAAAAAAAGAGCTAACTTTACATAGGGTGCTGCTTTTTACAAGAGAAAAATATGCAGCCAAGCAAAAGGGAAATGTTACGATATAATAATATAGTAGGACACCTATAGTACCATTTGGAAGAGGAGGAGCAAATATATTTTCTATTTTTCTGATGACACATTTAGCTGATACACTCACCCCATTATATTAGAACTCAGAATGTGACACCACTCATGAGGGTAGGTAGAATACCTTAACGCCATTATGTACCAGTTTTAGCGAGTTTTTAAAATTGCAACATTTTACATAATAAACAATGGATGGCTAATATAACCTGTGGACCGATTTACAATATTATGGAGGACCATTTAGTCTTTTTACTCTTATTATTCTTAATGGGAATGTATAAAAATTTTTCGAATAGTGACACTTCTTTCGTTCATTATAGCATCATATATATACACATTATGCCTGCGCGTAATTGGTATACGTATGGGCATAAATGTAATAACGTCCGGCTGGCTCGTGTTCATTTTATAGTAAATGTATAACAGAAATAAAAATAGGAATACACGCGAGTAAGCACAGGATGCATATCCGAGCGTAGCATACGGGATTTATTTTCTCAGAAAAGAAGTACATTTATGACATAAAATATGCATGTACTATTTTCTACATTTCCGTTTGTGGATAAGCTGTGTCGGCTTCATTGCCGATGGGCAACATAGAACAAATGGTAGCCATACCCATCGTTCCTGTTCGTACATTTTTTTTTTTTATTGGTTAATTGTGAACCACTTCCAATTTATGTGGTACTAAGTAGAATATGTCGTGTTTTTTAATTTGATCATTTCGCAATATATATATATACATATATTATATATATATATACATTTTTTTTTGTACGTATATTCAACATTTGCCTAGAAAAAAAAAAAAAAACAAAGGATCTTAAGATTTAGCTTGATTTTAGGTTTTTAAAATAGCTTTATTTAGAAATGTCGTTTCTTGAGTATTTAATAAAAATATATTAGAATGTACAGAAATCCGTATTATTATAACATTATACATGAAGCCAAGATGAGGTGAAATCTCCGTTTTTCTTTCGTACAATTATGCTATTGTGATAGTTCATTTGTGTATATATAAGTTGTGTATGTAAATATGGCGCTTTAGAATATAACGCACTGTTTCTATAATTTTTAAAAATATGACAAAGCACGTGCCATCTGCAGTTATAGTTTTATATTTTATTTGAATGCTTTCTCTGATATGTGCTTTGTCAAATAATTTTTATCGTCCCCATACCATGGTGTTTATGTCGATATAACAATTGCCCACATGTATGTATATTTGTTTGTAGCATTGTAACACAAATTACGACTGCATGTATGTTTTTTTTAAAATAATTAATATGTTTTTTTCATAAGTTGACAAGTGAAAATATTCTTGTGCTTATAGAATATTTCTGTTAAGGAGATGGTACAGTTCTTTTTTTGATGTATTATTGTTTGTTTTTTTTTTTTTTTTTTTTTTTTTTTTTTTTTTTTTTATTTTAAATTTTATACTGCCATTTTGCCTATAAATATTGTTACTTTGTTTCAACGCACAAAATATATATAAGGGGTGTTTAGAAATATATTACGAAGTTAGCAGCTTTTTATACGTGCATTCTAACTTTTTTTTCGGACAGTTTGTATTTCCTCATATCTATTACATCTCGTAACGTAGAAGTGTCCGGGATATTTGGGCCATAGCAGGCGTCTACGAATATATGTACATGTCCATACTTAGAACAGGGTGCGACGTAGTGGCCATCCCCCCTGGACATGTCTGTTATATATATATAAGTACATATACTGACCTATTCTTCGTTAATGTGGAAGGTATTCATTCCCAGCTTAAGGCTTCCCTGTGCCTGTTTTTTACGTACTTGCAACATTTATAGAAGATAAGACGATGCAAATGATTATTGCTAAATCAAAAAGGGGTGCCTCTCCTTGTGAGGAGGCAACAGAGCATATAACGGATAGCTCAAATAATGCTAGTGCAAACATAGCGGAGGACAAAAGCATGGACAAAATAATAGGTGTCTTTTGCGCTTGTAAAGTTGTGATATGTGCTCTGCTTGTGTGGTTAATGCAGTGTTCCGGCATGGTAAGTTAATAAGTTGCATGTATAAGGCATTTTGTACTGCAGCTTAAGTGGAGGCCAGACGTGCATATATACATAAATACGTGTTACGTGCGAATGATCGCAAGGAAGATGTGTGTGCATAGTGGCATTCCCACTGACAACAAAGTAAAAAAAGAAAGAAATGGTTTATGTATTAATATGACTCCCTTTTTAACTCATTTTTCAATTTTTGCAGTACTCCGGTGCATACATGAAGGGTTACTACAACATGGGCAGACCAGCTGCTGTGAGGCCCAATAGACTATTGGGACAACCAGTAGTCGAATTCGACTCAATGTTCGATCTCTATCAGAAAAGCTTTTTGGACAAAATGGGATGCGATAGCAACCAAAAGGACCAAATTAAGACTATGATGAAATCATATTTCGATAAAATAGATTTGGGAGCCTTAGCTCAACAATTTCAACAGAACCCCTCCAGCATTTTGCAGTGTCCACCAGGAATGCCTGGTATGTTCGAACCTTCCAATGTTAGCATGTTTGGACAATCAAATCCAAATGAGAGTAAAAATGCAGACGCAGAAAAGAAGAAGAAAAAGAAGAATGGTCAAAAGGATACTTCAGATGATGGTGATGAGCAGGAAACAAAAGAAGAACAGGATGGCGAAAAAAAGGATGAACACAAAACACAGTTGATGTTCCCAACTAATAATAATAACCAGAGCCCTGTTTCATATTATTTGAACTTTTTCAATTTCTTGTGGTCCTCTCCCTTCATTGTTTTGAGCTCAGTTATATCAGCATGTTCTGGACAGCTTCCACTTACTGTAGCTTTAATATCCATATTATTGTTGAAAGGAGTTAATTTATCCTGGGACCTCAAAATAATGTATGATACGTTATTCCAAAAGAAAAAATAAATGGTTTATTCGTGAAATGTGGATATTCCTTTTAAGAATGAGCATTTCAGGGAGAAGGCAAGCCCACAAGAGCACAGGAAGGTTGGCGCAAAGTTAT